GAAAGCCAGCGGCAAAAACAGAGCAGCCGCGATGTCCGCGCTGAACGCAAAACAGCAACAGAATTTCCTTACTTTCTTTGTTTTCCGACTGCTGTCGCCGTCGCGTTTCCCTTCGCATTTGTATTTGGATGCACGATGCTGCTGCGCAGACGTCGAGTTATCTGCTCTCGGAAATTCGAGTGAAACTCGAACGGGCTCGAGTGAAAATGGGGGCCATGTACTTAGGCGATTTCCCCTGATTCGTCGGCCAGGCTCAAAGCGGGAAAATCATTTGGGAGGCGGGGATGGCGCTCAGAACAGTAGCACCACCAGCCCCCGCATCACCCCCCAAAAATAAACCACCCGCCACCCCCTTATTTTGTGGTGAGTTAGGAAACCGGCTGGGTTTTCTTTTCCTCCCATTCCCGCTTTTCCAAGGCAACGTCTTGTGGTGAGAAATTGTTGCGCGCCGCTGAGTTTTTTCCTCCGCTGTTTTTGCGTTTCCATTTTTGTTGTTCGCTTGCAACAGAAGCAGCATTTTCTTTGCCGCTCTTCGGGCGCGCTGTCGCCTTTCATTTTCATTGTGGGTGGCTGGGCGGCAGTCGCGGGAGTGGGCGGATTTTCATGACTTGCCGGCGGAATCACAGATGCCGTCGGTGGCATAGAAATTTCAGCGCATTTGCCGACGGCAAGTCGATGCGAGCTGAAAAGTCATAGCGGAAAATGCCCAAAACATTTGAATTGATGAAAAGATACGTAATTAGGATTAATAAAAAACAAACAGGCACAAAATTAAAATTTTTAAGTCATAAAAGTCAATTATATCACATTGCTTAAACAGTTTGGAATTACTTAACTTATTAATAAAATTTTTATTATTTTAATGTCTCTTAGAATTAAATATCAAAAAATTGTTTATTCTAATAAAAATTAATTCTTTTGTTATTTTTGAGATATTATTAAAATTGAAAGTTTTTTTTTTTTTTAATGGAAAATTAGTAATCAAATGGATTGTGCAATGATAGATTGGTTTTGGGACATGTTTTTGAATTACCTTTCTGAATAAAATAGCACTTTTATATATTGTTACAAGTTTAAAAAAAATAAGTCTGGTAAATATCATACAGTATTAAAATCTATAATATGCTTAAATAATAACTGGTACTCCCAAATGCTTCCCGAATTAGTCGGTTTCTTGACCGCCAATCGAGCGTCTTTTCGTACCAGGTTTATGCGGCGGCAACAAGCATACGCCCCGTGTGCCATTCGGCCACCCCGCCCCTTTCCTTCGGCCCATGCCAACCAACCAGAATCTCCCCACATTGTGGTGCCCAAAAATGGCAACAAAAAAAAAAAAGAAAGTAAAGAAAGGAAGGGAAGGGGAAGGGAAGAAAGTCTAGAAGAAAAGAAAAGCGGAGCGGAGGGAAGGGAAAAGAAAGCCGAAGCGTAGGACGCCGGACTCATGAAAGCTTTTTGCGGCGCACCAATGGCACCGCGTTATGCTCTTACACACACACACACACACAACCAAGCGCACACCCACACACAGATAGACCCACTCATGTACAGGGGGAGGGTCCTGGGAGAGTCCTCGAAGAGAGGGGAGCAGCGGAGGGGGGAAGAGAGCGGGGCGAGTGGGAGGCGACTCCGAGAGTGTCCCAAATGGGAATACACTCACACAGACCAGCCATTGACGAATACCGTTACGTCGGGGGAAAAGCAAAGCAAAGCGGCAAAAACAAAAAGCACAAAAAACAAGTAACAAGTTGCAAGTAACAACAAAAAAAAAAAAAAACGAAGGAAAGAGAAATGCTGGGAAAGCGGTGGAAAAGCCGAGGAATGGCAAACCCAAAACTGACACCAAAAGCGGCTAACCCTTTATCGCACATAGGGTTTCCTTACAGGACCGCATATTTAGGTTGCAGTTATGGGGTCCCACTATCTACCTCTCACTCACTCTCGTTTCTACCTCTCTCGTTCCCCCCCCATATATATATATATATACGAGTATATGTGTGTGTGTTTGTGCGCTTTGGACACAGACTGTGGCATACATATGTACATAGTTTTGGGTTACCCAAAATCGACGTGATGTTATATTATATGGAAAACACAATTTGCTCAACGGTCTGCCATTGCCTCTGCCTCTGCCGCAGTCGCAGTTGGCGTCGCCGTCGCTGCCTCGGCCGCAGTCAGCGTTGACGCCAACTTTAAGTAGCACTCGAAATCGTGGGCGGTAACGATTTCTATATGTGTGCAAGGACATAGTGGGAATGTCTGAAAAATGGAGGATTTAGGAAAAATCAAGGGGTACAGCCCACAATTTGGGGGTGGGGAGAAAACGAGGGGGAAACCCAGTGGGGGTGGGGAAAAAGGGGGCGATCCTCGTAGTTCTGCGGACTGTAACTACTGCCATTTTGCGTGACACAACTATAAAATGCTGTCCCAGCTGCAAAAGCACCACAACGTAAATTATATTAATGTTATAAAAAAGTGAGAAAACTGGGAAAAGGTTAAAGAAAATAAACTGAAGCTTTGTGATTCATAAATGCCTTATGAACCTAAAACGTTTTTTTTTTCAATCAATTTCAGGTTTTTTGTAAATATTTATAGCCAATGATCAGCAAGTCGTTTGACTAATTCTTACTAAGCAACATTCCTATTTACAAAGACATGTAGATAAATTTCTGATTTAGTTATTCATTTGCATTTGCACAAAGTTTTTACGAGAACATGTGCTTTATTAAGGAAGCATCTACTGCACCCAAAGACATTTTATAATGAAAACGTCTTGTAAGCCCTTTTCAGCGCGAAAGTTTGAAAGGCTTTTTGGCAGACAAAGGGTCCTCAAAACGAAAGTTGCCATCTCAGTGACATCCGTTGCTATATAGTGGCATATATATAGATAATATATATATGAGTGCACACCCACCGATTGTTTTTGCTCGCCTTTGTTTTGACTGAGCAGCAAAAGTTTCAATCAAAAAAGACGCCAGACATGGCGAAATGTCGAGATGATGACAACTTCCACTTGTCGGTAGTTTGACCCAGTTTTCCCCCGCATTGTACCGATATCAATGACAGTCATACATACCTACATATATGGCTATATGGATATAGGAAAATGGAAATGCCATGCAGCCTTGCCAATCAAGTAATGCAGCTGCCTCAAGACGCAGGACGCAAGACGCTATTCAAGGCGGTGGGCGGATGGATGGTTGGGGGCCAAATCGGATGGGAAGTGGCAAGTGGGCGGGAATGTGGGGCGGTGGTGGTGCAGTGGTTCGTTTGGTTGGTTCGTTGGTGTCACATTTTCGGTGAAATTTTGGTTTGCAAACTTTGGCAAAACTTGGCCAAGTATTTGGCCTCAAGTGTGTTAAAACGAGACGGAGACAAACCAACCAAGGCAGCCAAGGCAGCCAAGTCCGCTGGCGAAAGAGACGGCTAGCTGGCCGCGCGAAAGAGAGAGGGAGAGTGTCGAGCATGTGAGTGTATTGTGGTCGGTCTGCCGCCGGAGAATTCTCCGCTTCGCCTTTCTCCTCATCTCTCTTCTCTCGCTGTTCCTCTCTCTCTTTCACTCAGCTAAGTCTTGGCGTTTTCTTAAGCTTCGGCTCCTTGTAGCACTGTAAAAAAAAAAGGTTATTGAGAAGAAAAGAATTGGAGATAAACAAAAAATCAAAGATATTTTTGTTCTTTTTTGATTACATATTACTGAAAAATATTATTTTTAATAAACCTTTTAAAGTAAAAGTTTTGTCACACACTACGTATACGTAATATTTATGCTGAGTGCAACTCCTTGGTTCTTTTGGACTGTATTTAACTCAGCCACCGTCGGCATTGCCTTTAGCCTCTTATTCCGCCTCTTGTGCTCTCCGTTCCTTCGAGTTTTCCGGAGAGCAAGAAGGGATCCTGCAGGATGCCCGCAACTGTGGGCTGCCACTTGATGGCGGCCACATGGACATGGCCAAGGAGCCGGCCGACAGAGATGGAATGATTGCGAGTACGAGTGCGAGTGCGAGACGCCACTGGCTGGGGATAATTTTAATGAATTTATTTAGGAGTTTGTCTTGGGGCAGGTGGCTTCCTATACATAAGCAGCAATGGCCGCCACTGCAAAAGGGGGTTAGAGGGTTAGGGGGAACATTCTTTCGGGGGGGGGAGTCCCTTGCCAATGTTGTTTTGCAGCAACCGAAATGTGCGGCAGCATTTTTGGTCTTGCACAGTGGGCTATATGTGGTCGAGACGAGGCTGTTGGCTCCCTCAGTCTGCCCTCGGTCTGAGTTTCTTTTTTCTTTTCCCTGCTCCTGTGTTCTTTTTTTGGGCGCCGAGATTTCGGTTATTGGTCTTGGCGTTGCACTTGCCGCCCACGACGGATTTGGCCGGAATGAAATGTTTTTAAGGCCTTATGATTTTGCCAGGATCCCAAGAAAATTTTAGAAGATAATGATATTCCGATTTTTAAAAAGTTTGTATGCAACTTTGTCATAGGTCTAGAAACACGAAAGAAAATACCTTTCCCGTCGAGACAAAATTATTTTTGGCCATTTTTTGCAAGTTTTTCTGAAAAAAATTGCGAAAAAATGAAAAATCGATTTTACAAAAAATCAAGGGGGACCCCACAAAAATTTCGAAAAATGTATTTTCTGAAATTTGAAAAAACTGGTATGCAACTTTTTTCTAAGCCTTAAAACATGACAGAAATACCTTCCCCTTTGAGATAAACCGATTTTTACCCATTTTATGCAAGTTTTTGTAAAAGAAAAATGCAAAAAAATTGAGAAATCGATGTTGCGAAAAATTCAAGAGGGACCCCTACAAAATTTTGGAAAATTTTTATTTTCTGAGATTTGAAAAAGCTGGTATGCTTTATTATTAAAGGACTAGAAACATGAAACAAAATATATTTCCAGTTGAGATAAAATAATTTTTGGCCATTTTATGCAAGTTTTACGCAAAAGAAAATTTGTAAAATTTTCAAAGTTCGTGAAATAAACCTTCGCTTCCTTGTACAATTCCAGGATTTGCCCACCACCTGGTGGGGATGCACAGTCACCTGCATGCTCCCGATTGGCGGGCCCACATGACCTTGGGCGGACGTCCTGCCGCCTTTCCCGCCGCCCCCTTCTTCGGCCACCATGCTGCCTTTCCCACGGCGAGTGGCTTGCGTGGATTGAGCGGTTAGTCAATATAGTAGATTATATATAGAATATCCAATATTGATGATAACTTGCTAACTTTTCAGGGGACAACCAGCAGCATCAGCAGCAACAGCAGATGGCCACCGTGGGTGCGGCACACAGCACCACCAGTCCGGAGGGATCGCCAACCACCACCACCACGAGCGGCACTCAGCTGAGCGCCTTTGTCCAGCCGCCGATGACGTCATCGCCGCCGCCGGTGACCAGTTTGCAGCACGACAATAACAACAACAACAACAACAACAACAATAGTAACAGCCACATTGATGCGGGCTTCGAAAGTGATAGTATTTCGGTGACGGGATCGCCGAGAAAGAGCCTCGGCTCTCCATTGACCCACGATGAGGAGGAGGCGGAAGCGGAGGCGGAGGCGGAGGAGGCGGAATTGGGTGGCCTAAATCTGAACACCGCCGCCGTTCAGGGTTCGCTGGGTGAAAGTTCACCCGGAACGGGTGGCGCCTTCACCGCTCTAATCCAACGCAGCGGCAAAAATCCCACAGACTTATTTGGCGGCTTTGCGGGAGCTGGTGGCAATCACTTTGCCCCCGGTGGCCACAGCTTCAATCCCGCTCTGGCCGCCCAGCTCTTCCTGCAGAGTCCGCTGCTGCCGCAATCCAGTCAGTGGTTGTACACGCAACTCTATGGCAGCTACAGTGATCTCCCGTGGCTGAGGAACGCAGCTGCTGCAGCGGCGGCCAATATAAATCCAAGCCAGGAAACGGGAGTGCCTCCCTTGAGCAGTAATCCCGATCACGATGGCGTGAACTTGATCAAGCGGTGCGTCACTCTGATCACCCACAATCCGCCGGATGCGGAAAATGCCAATCCGAATGCCTCGCCGCCGGTCAGTTCCACTCGGAGATCCCCGTCGCCCGTGGAAACGATCGATTTGGATGATGTCAGCACCACCTCGCGATCAGCCAGTGGTTCGAGTGGTGGCGGTGGTGGTGGCAGTGGCAGTGGCAGTGGTGCGGGTGGACCCATCAGGACGCGAACTCCCAAACCGTCAGCGGATGTGTGGCGTCCTTACTAGCGGCTGGCGGCCGCCTTGCTCGGCACTTGCCTGGCGGCCCAAGGACAGGGGGGCGGTGGCGGTGGCGGTGGCGGTGGTGACGGTACCAGTACCGCTCATGAGTAGCGGGATTACCGGAACACTTAGCTGGCTCTAAAATTATATATATATATAGGAGTAAAAGAATAAGGCAGCAGCGAGCTTGTGGTGTTGTGAATAGTCGCCATATCGCAGCTGGCGGGGATTGCGACTTGAATTAGTTAGATATATTAAAAAAAACGATCTCATATAATTCAATACATTTTGAAAGGTTTATTAGGTTTTAACCAATTATTGGGCAGGTCATAAAGTTAATCAAAAAATGTACCTTCAATTTTCTCAAATAATTTTTTCTTTTCCTTATTAAAGTTTTGAAATATCAAAACAGATTTCTAGCTACATAAACTATATACTGTACAACAAAGTAATGCAATAAGAATAATTCAAATATAATTTTATTGAAATAAGTTTATGCACATTTCTAATATCCGACAATAAGACAAGCTCTAATAACAAATTCAAGTTGCAAAGCTCGCAATAAGTAATTTTTTGTGTTTTTTTTAATGGTCAACCCTAATATAAGTGGCTCACATATCGAATTTAAATCAATTAGCATGGCCCTAAGAATCAAATAAATATATATATAAATAGTAGAAGGCGGGGGCTCACATACATAATATATACGAATATATACGAGATTTATGTACATTGAACATATATATTGCACTGTATTTCCCCCTCCTAAATCAATATTGCAAAAATTATACGTAGACGTTTAAGAAAGGAACATTTTTTTTTGCAAAACACGCAAACGTAAGATTATAATAACGGAATGAATAAATAATAATGAAACATATTTTAAAATTTATTAAAAATAAATTTAAGAGATGACAGAGAACAAGTAAACACGGAATCACAGACACACACAAAATCACACCGATTTGTATATAAGGTACTTGAGTAGTGTGCCAAAGATTCGTTAATAAAAATTTCAACTAAATGAATTCTTTTGCTATCTTTCTAAATGTATAAATATGAAATTGGTCCTTAGAATAGTTTTAAACTTATAAAAACTTAAAATGCAGTCAAAAAAAGTTGTAAAAAGTTCCCTGGACCTAATTTAAAGCAAACTTAAGCAACTTTATTCACCTTAATACTATTCCAATTTTTTCTTCAAGCCACCTTTAAGGGTATGGAAATAATCAAGAGGCCACAGAAAAAAATAGAAAGCGTATGAGTGAGACGCAAAGCGGGGATTTGGATAATCAGCGCCGCCAAGAAAAGCTTTTAAGAAAATTAATTCACCCCTGCCCAATCCCTTGAAGGGGTTAACACAAATATATAAAGAGGAAAAGGAGAATTGAATTTATTGCCGGAGAGTCTTTGGCGGAGTTTTTGGCGCAAATAGAAATCTGGCTAAATAAAAAGTTTAAATAAATGGTCAAACTTGAAAGCGAAAAAAGCCAAACAGAAAAATTCTAGAAAAGGGTCTCGTCTGAAGGATAAATGGCGAGCACTAGGGAGAAAAAAATACCTTCAACTTGTGACGTGTATAGGGTAAAATTTTTGGCCCAGCCAGCTTATTTAAGGCGTGCGAATAATGAATGAGTTTTCCAGTTTTCCAGCTCATATTAAATGAGCTTGGCGGCTATCCAAGAACGCTTTCCTTGCCTTTCCTCGCTTTTCCTATCTTTTCTTTGCCTAATGAAGCATAGGAACAATTAGTGAACGGCTTCTAAGACAATAAAAAAAAGGAATAAAAGGGGATAATCCCATCGTGAGTTTTACCGTGCTTAATGTAATTGCTTGTGTTTATCGCAGATTATTTATCTTATTCTTATTTAGTTGAAATCTTTTCAACTTTTTAGTACACTAAGTGGGGAAATAATTTAACGAGATTATTTCTATTAGTGCTGTTTTGTCTTACTTTTAAATGCTAAGTATTTTAAGTTTTTAGAGATATAAAAGATCTTCTTTAATTCGCACCTTCTCCTGCGATTAATATCCTTAGAGCTTAATTTCTCCGGGACAACAAAACTCATTTGTCAAGTGCCCCACTAATCCTGGCCATATGTGACGTCTGCCAACCCCGGGAAGCCCATTATGGAGATATCGTGTGTAAGTAAAGAAAAGGTTTATCTAGCGTGCTCGAATCAGAAACAAATGGTGGAAAATTAACTCTGCCTTATGAGTTGGAACTGACAAATCGTCAGGCGGCATCCTGACCCGATCCCTGTCGTTAAAATCCCAAAATTAACATACTCAAATGTGAACACTTTTCGTACCCAAAAAAAGAAAAAAAAACAAAAACAAGCAGAAGCAAACCAGCTGAAGAAATTAAAAATGAATAACCTGAAACGAAGGCAATGATGTCCCGTCCTTGGGGGTTGCTTTCTGCTTTCTGCTTTCTGCCTTCTGGATTCTACTTTCCACTTTCAACTTTCGACTTTCCACTTCATCGTTATCAACGCAACCTTGTCTCGTGTCACCTTTTCTGACACATCCTCATCCACATCCACATCTTTATTTTTATCCTGCTCATGGTCAATGGTCCTGACAGTCTCAGCTGCATTTTCGGTTTCTTTTGTGTCGGTTACTCAGAGGTTACAAGGGTATGTTTATAAAAAAAGGGATAAACGTCAATAGAATCATAATAAACAATAGCTCAGGTATTTTTAATTGAAATTTCATTTATATATAATATATGAATATTGTATATTGAACATCTATATTTAACATACATTATTTTCTTTAATGACAAAAGCTGTTGATTAAATGACGATAGGTATCCGCCATTCCATACCACTTTCTAATGATTTCTTTCTTTTGCTATGTGCCAAAGAACTACAGAATCGCAGTCGGAAATTCCGAGCTGCCTTCCAATTTGGCCTGTCATAAGAAGGACCCGGGATTCGAGGACCAGCCTGTCTGAAGACGTTGTCCTGGCTACCCGTTTCTGCCTCAAATGATGACTGGCATTTGATGGCGACAAAAGTCGGTGGGTGGATAGAGGCTGGTGGTGGAAGTGGAGGTGGAGGTGGAGGTGGAGGTGTGGATCGAGTGGGTGGCTGGCAATCTTGAGAAACGCCAACGACACAACCTAATAAACTGTTGCCCAGGACGACCAGCATTTGACATTGGCCGGCTTTTAACCTCCTACGCTCTGCGCACTTCCACCGGATTGCTTGCAACAAAGAGCACAACTTTCATATCGTGTTTGAGGTTGAACAGGTTCGAAATTAAAGCATCTGCTTCAGAATCTGCCCGAAACTCCCCATTTTCCACCCATTTTCGAGTGTCGCTCAAGCGTTAAATAGAAAATTTTATGGCCACTCGTTGTGAGTGTTACTGTACAGGCGACACACGCACACAATTGTCCACTCAAAAAACGAGAGGTATTCTAATATAAATGCAGAACATTTATAAGTGGTATACCGCCATGAATTTGTTACTAAAATATCTAAAAAGCTGTATAATTAGTTTATTTTCCTAAACCTATAACTTTATTAATTTTTATCCGATTTACAAGTAGCATACCTCTTTGAGTTTGTTTTTTGAATGTGCAAACAACTGCGTCATTAGTTTTTTTTTCTTTTAATTTTTTAATACAAGCAAAATAAATCTAATTAAAAGCAAGTTTATTTAACAAAAGCTACTAAATATTTTACCACACAATCTAAGCTACCAATTCTTTATATTTATGTAGCGTTTTTCCCACAGTGTAAGGACACACATTTTAATCGCATTTTCATTGCAATAAGTGGGCTTTCAATTAACATGTTTCTGCCCCTGGAAAAGCTCCTGTCCCCATTCAAATGCCAAGTAATTTGACTTTATGCCATTATCAAGCCCCAAAAACTTGTGTGCAACTCGAAGGGATGGCAAAAGACTTGGGGGCCCGTCAGAATTTACCGTTTGCTGCTAATTATGCCATCATTAGAGGCACCCACAGCCCCAACACATGCAATAAATTTGACACCACCCCCTTTCGGTTGGCATCAAGTGACGTCAGTTTATTGCAAACCGTTGCCGGGGGTATTTTCCAGTTATTATGACACATTCATGCAATTATATGCACCTGTAGAAAATTCTAGAACTTTCCCGAGCTTCGGAAAGCAACAATCATAATACAGTTTTCCATTTTAATATTATGCCAAATGGTCGGTAATTTTTTGTAACTTTTAATCACTTTTTGTTTGTTTGAGGCATTGTTATTTTCTCCCAGTGTAGACGCACATTTGTAGGCATGTTCTCGCTTGTGTGGCAGCAGCTCCTTCTGGCAATTGCTATCAAATCACTTGCAGTGCTAATTGCTATGCTTATTATTAATAATTGCTTGATTGTTGCAGTTGCCGCATTTCACAGATTGCGAAATCAGGAGGAAAATTATCACGAAATGTATGGCGCAGTGAATATTTTCGAAATGAAATGCCATGAGCACGAAATTAAATAATTATAACTTTTATTTCATATTTACGCAAATGCATTGCAATTATTGTACTATTTGAATTTTTACTGTCACTTGGTTTTATTGAAACACTAATTTTAAAATTCTTTAAGAAAAGTAAACCGACGTTTCTCTTAAGAAAAGTGAAAGTAGTTGCCCAGTGAACCAGTTTCTTGCCGCTTTAAGTGCAGTTTTGAGCACTTCCCGTGCAATTCTCTCGATTTCACTTAAATACCGAGCACACGGGCACACAGGGAATGAGTTTTCTGGAAGCCAAAATAAACAACAACCAGCAGCCGGCGGCATCACAAACTTGGTAATGGTTAGGAGCGGGAAAGCGGTGAGAAGCGGGGAAAATCGCGGAGCGAAGCAGAGCGGAGGGAACGGGAACGGGAACGGGAACCACAAAACATTTTGTTGGACAGCGAACGGCCGGCAAAGGACATCGAAGCGACAGCGTCGCCTGTAACATGACAGGTGGCCTGCCGGCCCACTGCCTAAGCCACCCACCACCCACTGGCCACCCCACCCCACCCACTGTGCACTCCATCCCACCCCACATCCCCCTTGGCGCCCGCTTTTCCAGCTTTGTCACAGGAACTGTTAATAATGTGCAGCGTGAGCAGGAACGGAACAGAAAATCAGCGTCATTGGCGCACCTACAACATGCGATGTTGCGGTCAGCGACACAACTTCGTGCCCGGAAAATGGAAAAGCTCACAGCCTCCACCAGTAGAACGCCCCTCAACCCCTCTCATCTGTCCAACGGTTTCGGGAAAAATAAAAAGGGAAACGGGGCGAAAGGCAGGTCATGAGTGACGGCGCCGCTGCGTCAGCGGCATGTAATTTTCACGGTTTTTCGCAAATACGAAAAACGAAATACGCTAGACGAAAATTCCCTCGCTCCAAAACTGCAAATCCCTCTGCCCATTTTGCCCTCCAAAACTAAACAGAAATGAGGGGAGAATTCTATTTGACGGAAAGTCGAACTGTGCAATACCCTAATGTTTGGGATAATGCAAATTGAAGGAGACCCAAAAAAGTATGCTATGGTTTTTAAACTTTTAATAAAATCAAGATTTATCTTGGCGTTACATTATTTGTAACTCCTATACTGTCTAAATTATTTTTTATGCCTTTATTTTCAATTTAAATTATTTTTTTCTCGAAAAATTTAAAACAAATAAAGGTTTTACTTTTGTATTAAATTTTAAATGGTCAGCCTTTATTTAATACAATTAATCGTTCGTTTTATGGTTTTATTATTTTTGTGGATCTCTTTTTTAAGGCATTTTACCATCTTAGTTTGCATATACTTTCCCGATTCCGCGAAACGCGAACTTATGGACAGCGTGGGCGTGGCTGTTTTCAGGGGCGGCGTAGAACAAAGGCCACCTG